AGGTGAGGAACAGGTGAAGGACAGGTGAGGAACAGGTGAGGGAAAGGTGAGAAACAGGTGAGGAACAGGTGAGGGAGGTGAGGGACAGGTGAAGGACAGGTGAGGGACAGGTGAAGGACAGGTGAGGGACAGGTGAGGAACAGGTGAGGGAAAGGTGAGAAACAGGTGAGGAACAGGTGAGGGAGGTGAGGGACAGGTGAAGGACAGGTGAGGGACAGGTGAGGAACAGGTGAGGGACAGGTGAGGAACAGGTGAAGGACAGGTGAGGAACAGGTGAGGGAAAGGTGAGAAACAGGTGAGGAACAGGTGAGGGAGGTGAGGGACAGGTGAAGGACAGGTGAGGGACAGGTGAGGAACAGGTGAGGGAAAGGTGAGAAACAGGTGAGGAACAGGTGAGGGAGGTGAGGGACAGGTGAAGGACAGGTGAGGGACAGGTGAAGGACAGGTGAAGGACAGGTGAAGGACAGGTGAGGGACAGGTGAAGGAGGGACAGGTGAGGGACAGGTGAAGGACAGGTGAGGAACAGATGAAGGACAGGTGAAGGACAGGTGAGGGACAGGTGAGGGACAGGTGAGGAACAGGTGAAGGACAGGTGAGGGACAGGTGAAGGACAGGTGAAGGACAGGTGAAGGACAGGTGAGGAACAGGTGAGGGACAGGTGAAGGACAGGTGAGGAACAGGTGAAGGACAGGTGAAGGACAGGTAAGGGACAGGTAAGGGACAGACAGGAGGACAGACGGGACATGTGTGTAGGGGGACACAGAGTTACAGGTCTTTGCTGGTCCTGGTCCACCTGCAGGTCTCACCTGTTTTGCTTCTGCCCACACAGATCCCAAAGGTGTTGCCGTCAGCGTCTGCGGCGGTCTTCAGGTCCAGAGCGTAGATGGGCTCCAGGTCCATCTGGTCTCGGATCAGACGGCACCTCTGTCCCGCGATGTGGACCCCGTTCTGACCGAAGCCTGACCGGTCCCCTGCAAGCTTCTTGATCTCCTCCACCTGAAGGACGACAGGTAAGAGTCAGAAACACTCAGAAACCCCACGGTCCCTGAAGACCACGTCTTCTGATGGGTCCTACAGGGACCACATCTCCTGATGGGTCCTACAGGGACCACATCTCCTGATGGGTCCTACAGGGACCACATCTCCTGATGGGTCCTACAGGAACCGTGTCTCCTGATGGGTACTACAGGGACCTCGTCTCCTGATGGGTCCTACAGGAACCACATCTCCTGATGGGTCCTACAGGGACCACATCTCCTGATGGGTCCTACAGGGACCACATCTCCTGATGGGTACTACAGGGACCTCGTCTCCTGATGGGTCCTACAGGGACCACATCTCCTGATGGGTACTACAGGGACCTCGTCTCCTGATGGGTCCTACAGGGACCACATCTCCTGATGGGTACTACAGCGACCACATCTCCTGATGGGTCCTACAGGGACCTCGTCTCCTGATGGGTCCTACAGGGACCACATCTCCTGATGGGTACTACAGGGACCACATCTCCTGATGGGTACTACAGGGACCTCGTCTCCTGATGGGTCCTACAGGGACCTCGTCTCCTGATGGGTCCTACAGCGACCACATCTCCTGATGGGTCCTACAGGGACCTCGTCTCCTGATGGGTCCTACAGCGACCACATCTCCTGATGGGTCCTACAGGGACCTCGTCTCCTGATGGGTCCTACAGCGACCACATCTCCTGATGGGTCCTACAGGGACCTCG